CTTTTGGATGCTCCTTAGGGACAAGCCTCTCCCAGGCCAGGCAGCGGTGGCAGAGAGCTCCTGTGATGCAGCCTGAGCTGGGCGAGGAGCTGAGCCTGCAGCAAGATTGGACCAGGGCCTGCCTGGGAGCAGGAGAGGACAAGGGACCCTTGGGGGTCTCCCTGGGTCCTTACAAATCACAAAGCAGGTGGGAGGAGAGTTTGTTCAGGCACCGTGCAAGGTGCACCTGCTGGTGTGTGCTGTCCTATATTACTCAGTGTTGTTGCCTCTCTCACATTGCTGCATGTATGTTAGATGCTTTGATACCCCAAGTTTAACTGACCTTAAAATATCACTTACAGTACTCAGGTGTCATCAGCCATAAGTCTTCACGTGCTTGGAGGCTTTGTTTTTATTTGAATCAAACTTACAAGTTGAAGGAGTTAATTATTTCTGAAGCTTTCTTATGAGAGGCTGGCATTGTGGTGTAACATGGAAAGTGCTGCCAGCAATGCCAGTGTCCCATGTGGCTGTTGAACAGAGTCCTGTGTGCTCCACTTCTCAGTCAGCTCCCTGCCCTTGTGCCTGGAAGAGCAGCAGAAGCTGGCCTGACTGCTGGGACTCTGCAGCCATCGGGGAGAAGGAGGAAGGCGGTGGATCCTGCTTTGGCCTGGCGCAGCCCTGGCTCAGTGACCATCTGGGGAGTGAACCAGTGAGTGTGGGATTTCTGACATTAGCTGCTAGGGTACAGCACCAGGCTCTTTGGTTTTCTTTGTTTTAAGATTTGTTTTTGGGCCTGGAGCAGTGGCCTAGTGGCCAAAGTTCTACCTTGTATGAGCCGGATCCCATGTCGGCACCGGTTCTAACCCTTGCAGCTCCACTTCCCATTCAGCTCCCTGATTGTGGCCAGGGAAGGCAGTAGAGAATGGCCCAAGGTCTTGGGACCCTGCTTTGGAGGAGGGTAATAATAATAATAATAATAATAATAATAATAATAATAATAATGTTTAATTATTTTTTCTTACAAAGTCAGATATACAGCAAGGAGGAGAGACAGAGAGAAAGAACCTCTGTCCGATGATTTGCTCTTCAAGTGACCGCAACAGCTGGTGCTGCGCCGATTCGAAGCCAGGAACCAGGAACCTCCTCCGGGTCTCCCATGTGGGTTCATGGTCCCAAAGATTTGGGCCGTCCTCGATTGCTTTCCCAGGCCACAAGCAGGGAGAGCTGGATGGGAAGCAGGCCGCTGGGAGTAGAACCAGGGCTCATATGGGATCCCAGCACGTTCAAGGTGAGCACTTTAGCCGCTAGGCCACAGCACTGGGCCCTAATTTGTAATTTTACTTATCAGAGTTTTGATAACACTGTTTGTTAGCCTGGCTAAATATTTGACTATCTTATTTTTCTCAAGCCATTTTTTGTTTTGATTAATATTTCACACTTCTCTTAGTTTCACTTTCACTTACGTGGCTCTGCCTCTTATTTCTCATCTGCTAATCTGGAGTTTTGTTTGATCTTGTTTCTTTGTGGACAAAGTCGACAAATTTATTGGGATCAAATTGAATATGTAAGTTGCTTGGAGCACCATGGATGATTTAATCATATTAACCCTTCTAAGCCTGGATATTGGAATACTTTTTCCATTGTTTTGTCTCTTCTAGTTCTTTCATTGATGTGATTTAAAAAAAATTTTTTATTGGAAAGGCAGATTTACAGAGAGAAGGAGATACAAAGAGAAAGATCTTCCATCTGCTGGCTCACTCCCCAAGTGGCTGTAATGGCCAGTGATGAGACAATCCAGAGCCAGGAGGCAGGAGCTTCTTCCAGGTCTACCACATGGGTGCAGGGTCCCAAGACTTTGGTTCATCCTCTGCTGCTTTTGCTGGACACAAGCAGGAAATTGGATGGAAAGCAGAACAGCCAGAACATGAACCAGAGCCCCTATGGGATCCCAGCAGATGCAAGGTGAGGATTTAGCTACTGGCCCACCATGCTGTGCCCCAACAGAAGCATTTCTATCTCACCTCAGAGCTGCAGCATTAGGACCCCCAGACTGTCAGTGACATCTCTAATGTAAAAATCAGGGTCCCAGGGATAGCAGTCCTGGTGCAGGCCCGGGTCCAACATCAGGGTCAGGGGTGTGAGCTGTGCCCTCTGTGCCCAGCAGTAGGGATCTGGTTCCCACCTGGGACCACCCAGGGTGAGGCCATGGATTCTGCTCCTGCCTGTGCAGCCTCAACCAGGGTCTCTGTATTTTCTCTTCATTGAATCAGCTACAGTGTCACACAGCCAGGTGAAGGGCAAATGAGAAACTCCTAGATTTCATTGTGGGCTCCAAGGAGGGAGAATCCATGTGGGGCACCATGTGAGGCAGCAGGATACAGGGAGGTTCTGTGTGTTCAGCTGTGGCCTCTTCCTGAACCTTCCTCCTGGGCTGCCCGGGAGTGTCTCCATGGGACACCTGATCCACTCTCAGTGTTCTCTTGGGGTTCTGGCTCCACTTCCTGCCCAGTGTCCACCCAGTGCACGCCCTGGGAAGCAGCAGATGATGCACCAGGACACTTGGACTGAATTCTGGGCTCTGGGCTTTGGCGTGCCCCTCCTCAAGCTGTGTGGACATTTGGGGAGAGAGCCAGAGGATGGGAGAACACTCTCCTTTTCAAAAAGATGAAAAGAAAATCTTCAAATAAATAAAAACAATTTTTTATGCCTTCCCTATCTTGTAGCACTCTTTGTTCACAGGCCCAGGGGTTCCCAATGTGGGTGACAGCAATGTTGATCTTGGGGCTCTCAGAGAACACAGACGCTTTGACCTTGGCTGTGCCCTGTCTGGCATGTGAACACTGGGAGCTGAAACATCACAAGGTAAGAATGTAGTGACTGCCCCTCCCCCCCGACATCCCAGCTAAACAGGAAGGTGCCTGGTGAGGGTGAGGCCTGGACTTGGAACTCCCTTCCCTGCCTGGCACCATTGCCCAGCACAGCAGCATAGAGAAGGTCAGAGGTCAGGGGAAGGTGTGGCTCAGAACCAGGTGTATGTGTTTCCCACTTAGTAAACCTGGATCATAAGTGACACTGCTGTAAACTAGGCTCCTTGCACCCAGATCTCTGCCAGAGCTGTCCCTCACTGTGTGGTGTCCAGGGCCCAGGTGTGCTCACGTGACCATCCTTCAGGGGAGGCTGAGGTCCAGGTGGGAGTCCTGTCTCCCTCCTGCTGCCAGAGTGTGCTCTGGAGGTGGTGCCATCAGCATCCACCTGAGCCACTTGCAGAGCCCCTGACTGCTCCAGACTGTCCCAGCCCTCCCAGTGCTCACGGGATCCCCTCAACATGTCTGTGGACCCTGACTCTTACAGTGACCCTAGCCCTGCAGGTAGTGGGGCTGTGGTTTTACCCCCTCTCTCTCCCCCTCGACTTAGCCCTGCAGACCCAGTGCTCCTTCTTGCACCCTCTCTCATGATTCTCACTCACTCCCTGGGTGCTCCATCTCTGCTCCTGAATGCAAATGTGGTTCATGTGGAGCCCAGTCCTCAGTGAGTCTCCCACACAGATATTTCTTCTCCTCGTGGTCACTGCCAGCCCTGCAGTGTCACTTCTCACCAACATCCTGGTTTCTGCACTGAATGCCTGGGTGGTCTCTTATGGAATGCACCCTCCCGGGTTGCCCTTCTCCTACGGTGATGCCATCCACCCAACGGCACGGCCTGAAGCCCTGGGTGTCCTCCTCACCTCCTCCTCTTTCCCTGGATGCAGTCCACAGGAAGTGCTGTGCATCCATCTGCAGAAGGATCCAGAACCTCACGTCTCCACTCTGCCCATGCCCACACCCACCACAGTGACTGGCATCCCTGCCTGGGCTTCACAGGAGCCTGTAGAGCTTTGTCTCCGGCCTTGCAGTCTCTCAGCCCCATCATCACACAGCAGCCAGGGTGGTCCTTGGACAGAAGCTGCCCACGTCCTTCCTATGCTCAGAGCTGTCTCATGACTAGCATCTCACTCAGAACCAGGGCCAGTCATTCAGTGTGCATGCAGCCTGCTGGATGGCGGTGTCCCGACCAGCCTTCCTGATGGCTCCCTGCTCTGTGTGCACTTGCTCCTGCCCAAGGCATTTGCACTGGCCGTCATCCTCCCCCACAACTTCTTTGCAGATGACTAACTGTGTCCTTCATCCTTCCTCATGGTCATCCCCTCAGGGCAGTTCATGCTGACCATGATGGTGAGACAGCCAGCTGCTCTGGCCCTCACACCCACCCTGGACCACCTTGCCCAGCACTGAGTTTGACCCACAGCAAAGTCAGCTGAGTGATGAGTATGTAGCACCTGCCCCTTCCAGACCCGGTGGTTCATCAGTGGAGCCTGAGACAGAGGCTGCCTGTGGCTGCTGCTGAGCTGGTCCCCTCCTGCTGGAGTCCCCACGGCCTGTGCTTTCTCTCAAGTGTCCTCTGCCCTCCTGCTTCCCTCCTACACTGCCTCCTGCACACACAGAAGTGAAGGCCACCAGAGCTCACACACAGGAAGAGCAGAAGCAATCAGCCAATGACACTAAGGAACAAAGTGAATACAGGAAGATGGAGCTGAGGGATGAACTTAAGCCCTAGATTTGGCAGCCATGGACCCATGCAGCCTCCATTGCCTTGGGCCATGAGACAGGGCAGCCTAGCCACGGCTGAGTGCTGTGATGGCAGTTGTTGGTGGGCATGCCCTACCAGAGAGACCAGGACACAGGGGCAGCTGAACCGGGTCAGCAGTGACCAAGAGAAAGCATGATGGATGGAGCACTGCCTGGGCACAGCCCCATCCTCACCCAGGGGCTCCCAGCCTCTCCTGTCCCCACCTGCAACAGACTCAACACAGGAAACACAGGTTCTAGAAGGCTCTTGGTGCTTCTGTTTATTTCTCTCTGTCAAATTTTATTATTTCATTGCATGACACAATTGCATAGGCACTGGGATTCCCCCCAACCCCTCCCCAAACTGCCCCCCACCCAAATTTTTGTAATTTCCTCTTTTAATTTTCTCAGCAACACCTGGTGATTGGAATTGTTAAAAATGAATTGTACAGTGTAGGATGAAGCTGCAGCAGATGCACCTGACTTGAGACAGGGTCAGAGGTGCCCGTGCTGGGCTGGGAGGGCCAGGCTCCCACCTCACACTGTGCCCACAGGAACACACTCAGCTGCCTTGGCAGGAAGGGAGGGCAGGGCTTTTTGAAGAAAACCAAGATGAGGACTTCAGCAGGTCTGTCCCAACAAGGCGGTTGTCTCACACTACAGACACAAGGTGAAACTTTGAGGTCATTGTTTTTGGGGACAGGAACAGCACAGCACACTGTGAAAATGTTCAGATTCAAGGAATCCTCCAGCCCCTCTGTGTCCCCCCACCCAGGTTCCTCTCCCCTCCAGGCCCTCCAGGTCTCACCTTTCAAACTTTCAGAGAGGAGTCAGAGCCCTGGGAACTGTCCCCACCTGGCAGAACCAATCAGGAGTTGGTGAGAGCCCCGGGGGTGTGGCTGACGGAGGAGCTACAGGGTGGGTGGGGCAGCTTCTCCAGGGGCAACTGACTAGAGCAAGAGCCTTGGGGACTCCCCCATCCCCAAACACACCCCAGTGCTTACCTGCAGCCTTAGTGTAGATCCCTCGTTTCCCACCTGTGAGAGAAAACATCCAGGGAGAGGCAGGGACTCAGGACTGGTTCATCTCAGAGAAGTTTCTAGAACTGTGGCTACAGACCCAGGAAAGGTTAGGAGGCACCTCCCCTGGAAGTGTGTCCTCAGCTGGGACCTCCCCCTGACCTGGTGCTGCTGGAACTCAGGTCCCTGTGAACAAAGTCATCCCCTGGAGTGTTTGTTCTCCACCTTCACTCAGATTCACACTAGAGCCAGTGTGAGCACCTGGGGCTCAGTGAGGGGTGCAGGTGTGTGTGCATGGTGCAGCCCAGGAACGGGGTAGGGGGACCATCTCCCTGGGGGACAGGGGACTCAGACCCAGCCCTCACCCTAACCTACCTGAGCACTTCCTCCTAATCATCATCACAGCTCCAATGACCACAACTACCAGGACGGCTGCAATGATGACAACTCCCCACATGGGCACAGTGGGCTGAGGAGGCTCTGAGAGGGGAAGGGACAAAAAGGGGCTCTGACTCCAGGGCTCATTCCCACCCTTGCTGAAGGCTCTGTCCGCTCTGCCCTCCTTACCCCATCTCAGGGTGAGGGGCTCAGGCAGCCCCTCATGCACCACATGGCACGTGTATCTCTGCTCCTCTCCAGAAGGCACCAGCACAGCTGCCCACTTCTGGAAGGTTCTGTTCCCTGTAGGCCTGGTCTCCACCAGCTCCATGTCCTGGTTCAGGTCTTCCCCATCGCGCTGCCAGGTGAGTGTGATGTCCTTGGGGTAGAAGCCCAGGGCCCAGCACCTCAGGGTGGCCTTCTGGTCAGAGACTGGGTGGTGAGTCACCTGTGTTATGGGTGGGTCTGAGGGGAGATTTGGAAAATTCAGGCCTTTCATGTTCTTCCCCTGACACTAAAGTTACACTCAGTGACCTTCCTGAGAGTGGACAGGGGAAATGGGGTGGTGGAGGAGGTCAAAACCCTGACCCTGCCTGGATAAAGACAATGCGACAAATGTAGTGTTTGGAAAGTTCTAGAATCAGGTATCTGGCTAGGGTAGGAGGGCCCAGGTCTCTGAGGGGAAGATTGCCTGGAATGAAACCTCCCAGTACACTGGCTTGAGGCTGAGGACTGGCCTGGGAGGTGTGAAGATCACAAAATCTTGGTGGAGTGCAGGGTACTGAGAGGGTCCTTTCCAGAATCTTCTGTGCCTGCCCCTCCCCCGCCCGTGTCCGTCCCCGGGTTCCTCCTCTCCTGAGGGAACAGTGGGTCTCTGGCTCTGAACCCCAAACTCAGGTGGACGTCCCTGCTGTGGCCCGGCAGGAGAGGGGTACACTGGCCTGGCTCCCACTTTCCTCCCCTCCTTGCTGCCCCAGCCCCGGGGGAGGTGGGTGAGGGCGGCCCCTCCCAGCCCCGCGCACCTGCTCTCTGCAGAGTGTCCTTTCCCATCTCCAGGTATCTGCGCAGCCACTCCACGCACTCGCCCTCCAGGTAGGCCCTGTCTTGCTCAGCAACACCCTCCGCCTCCCACTTGCGCTTGGTGTTCTGAGCCGCCGTGTCGGCCGCGGTCCAGGAGCTCAGGTCCTCATTCAGGGCAATGTAGTCCGTGCCATCATAGGCATACTGCCGGTACCCGCGGAGGAGGCGCCCGTCCGCCCCGACCTCGCAGCCGGACATCCTCTGGAAGGTGTGAGAGCCTGTCCCGCCCGCGGTCAGCCCTGGCCACGCAGCTCCGCCCCGCCCTCACCGACCCGCGGGGATTTCAGCTGAAACCGAAAGCGAAACCCGGGCGTGTCCCGCGGCTCCTCCCGCCGAGGGTCTCCGCGGGGCGCGCAGTCTCGGGGTGGGGGACCTCGGCCCCGGGGACCCGGAGCGCCCTGGGCGCACGTGGGGAGGGTCGGGTCACTCACCGGCCTCGCTCTGGTTGTAGTAGAGGAGCGCGGTCTGAAGGTTCACGCGGTTCATCTGTTCGTTGTTCTTGGAGATCTGTGTCTGCCGGTCCCAGTACTCGGGCTCTATCTGCTGTATCCATTCTGTCCTCGGTTCCACTCTCGGGTTCTCGGCGTCGCTGTCGAAGCGCACGAACTGCGTGTCGTCCACGTAGCCCACGGCGAAGAAGCGGGGCTCCCCGAGTTCGGGCCGGGACACGGCGGTGTGGAAATACATCAGGGAGTGGGAGCCTGGGGGAGAGAGGGGCTGAGACCAGGGCCGACCCCGCCCGGAGCGGGACCCTTGGGACCGAGGAGTGCGGAGCTGGGTTGGGGAGGAGACTAAGGGAGTGTGGGGACCACGAGATGAGGCGGTGAGGAGAGGGGAGGGTCTTGAATAAGCCGGGGTCGGTGAGATGGCGAGGTGTAGGGGGTGTGAGGTCTGGGAGAGGCTTCCCGGGGTCCCGTGTCCCCTCCGCGCCCCCCTCGCTCCTGCCCCGCAGAGCCCGTCTCCCTCCCGACCCGCACTCACCCGCCCGGGTCTCGGTCAGGGCCAGGGCCCCCGCGAGCAGCAGGAGGAGGGTCCGGGGCGCCACGGACTTCATCCTGGAGCGCTCAGAGGACTCCGATCCTGAAGCCTCGCAGTCGACTTTATAACCGGGATAGGACGGCGCTGATTGGCTCATCTGAAGTCGCTCGCCCAATGGGAGTGCGAGATGTGCCCGCGTCACGAGTGTCCGGGCAGAAGGAGCTCACTCAGGCTGTGAGAGGGGAAGTGACCCTGGAGGAGGTGGGGACTCCCCTGCACTTGCTTCCCTGGCCCAGACCCGCCCTGGGACTGAGACCCTGAGGGCCAGGCGGGTACCAGGGACTGTGCCCTGACCCTGTGCCCGGCTGCCCAGGCCTGTGTGATGTCCCCTCCTGAGGATAGGCCCGGAGCTGACTGAGGGATCCTGAGAGACCTGATCAGGACGTGCCCATTTTTAAGATTAGTTATACCTAGACCCATGCGTGTTTTATTGTTCAGCTTGATTCACATTAGGAGTATATTAGATTTCAGGCAGCCTCACAGGATGCATTAAATACAGAATGCTGGGATCCCAGCTGGGCTCTGTGAACATTCCTGTTAATATTCAGGGTTCAGCATGTTGAGGCCTGGGCACCTGCTGCTTTAGAATCCTGAGCTCTGGGCCCTGCCCAGTGGCCTAGAGGCTAAAGTTTCATCTTGCATGTGCCTCGATCTCGTATGGATGGCATTTCTAACCCAGCAGCTCTGCTTCCCATCCCACTCCCTGCCTGGGAAAGCAGTAGAGGAAGACCCAAAGACTTGGGGCCCTGGACTCCCATTTTAGACCCAGAAGAAGCTGTGGACTCCTAACTTTGAATTGACTCAGCTCCAGCCATTTGTGACCACTTGGGGAGTGAACTTTTCCCCGTCTCTCCTCTTCTCTGTGTATCTGACTTTCTAATAAAAATGAATCTTAAAACAAAACAAAAGATTCCTGTCCCCTGTCCTCACCTCCTCTTAGCTCTTCCTTTACCATTTCCTCCTCTCCCTGTGGTCCCTCCCACCCCCTCTCACTCTTGAACTGAAGCCCTAGCAGGGTCCCTCTCCTGCCACCCAGGGAAACTTTCCGCTGTGGTCAGCTGCCTTGTTGCTGCTAGTCCGGGGATCATTGCTTCATGAAAACAGCCCAGCGGCAGCATGTGCTGTGGGTCAGTGAGTTCTGTCATTTCCAAGGCCAGCACCACACATCCTGGGCTTCTTGGAGTCCAGGCTGTTCTGCTTCCATCCACCTTCCTCTTGATGTACCAGGGAAGGCAGTGGAAAATCCACAAGGGATTTCTCACCCACTGGTTCACTCTCCAAAGGTTGCTGTGTCCTGGGCTGGATCCAGGAGCCCACAACTCCACTGAGGCCTCCATGTGGGTACAGGGCCACAAGCACATGGACCATCTTTCCCTGCTCTCCCAGGTGGGCGAGCAGCGAGCAGGGCAGTCAGGAGTCACACAGATGCTCTCATCTGGGGTGCTTGGATTGCAGGTGGCAGCTTACCCTGCCCAGTGCCACAGTGCCTTCCCTGACCCTGCCTTTCATATAAACAAGTAGACTGTTAGGTAACTCACTGAAATGGCTGCATCTCGCTTTAGAGAAGCCTCTAGAATGTAGGGCCCGTAAGCACAGACTTAGGGTTGTTGATCAAAGCTGTAACCCCAGCACATGGTGATACATGCTAACAAAAGGCACTCAATTAATCCAAAGAGCCAAATAAGATGGTATTAGTGTTTAATTGCATCATGTGACAAGCATACAAAACAGTACAACAAACATTAGGGAAGGTTTTGTCTCATGGGAGGAGTGTTCACCAGAGTTCACGAATCCCTCCAGCAAGGATGACACTTCCTGGGGTGTCAGGTGCACACTGGGACCCAGGTATGGCTAGCTTTCCATTCCTGCATCACAGGTTACCACACCTGGGTGCTCAGAACCACACTCCTCCCTGTTCCCATTCCCTGGTCAGAGTCCAAGCCTGGTGTGGCCGTGCTCCTGGGCAGGCTCTCACAGAGCTGAGCTGTCCTCTTGAGGTTGGAGTCCTCCTCCAGCCTCCTTGGAGCTTGGGGCAGAGTCGAGCTCCTTGCAGGTGGAGGCCTGTGGTCCTGTGTGTGGGACAGCTGTCAGGGTTCAGTGGGGAGCAGCTCCCACTGCCAGGGCACCCACCTACTCTTCTCGGGGGTCCTCAGAGTCAGGGACTGGGGGGATGTCATGCCTGACACTGAACCCCTCCCACTCTCAGTCCCTCTCTTTATCTTGGTCACAACTCCTTTAACTCCTCTTCTTCTCTGGTCTCCAGTCTTAGCATTCTGTGTTTAGACGGAATACATTGTTTCCATTTTTAGCTCCCACATGAGAGACAGCATGCAGTATTTATTTTAGTGTCTGGCTCATTTCACTCAACATAATGTTCTCCACTTCCAACCATTTGGATGCAAATGAGAAGACAGGACTCTTTGTATAGCTGAATAGTATTCCATCATGTTTGTATACTGTATTTCCTCTATCCATTCATCTGATGATGGACATCTTAGTTGATGTCAAATCTGGGCCATTGTGAGCAGTGCTGCTGTAAGCAGTGCAGCAGGTTCCATGACACAATGAGTTCAGGTCTTCTGTTGTGTGCTCAGGATGGGATTGCTAGATCATACGGAAGCTGCAGTTCAAAGATTAACACAGTGTTTTCTACCATAGTTGTACTAATTTATATTTCTGATAACTTTGTATGTGATTTTCCCTTTCTATACATTTTTGCCAGTATTTGTTAAAACCAGAATAAACCAAAGCAAACCAATCCAGTCAGTCCAGTTAAGACATGGGTAAAGGAACTAGTTTGGAGTTCTTGGAAGAACTAGAAATGGCCAATATTTGGAAAATGCTCAACAGTAGCAGCTGTCAGGGAAATGTAAATCAATACTCCGAGGTGCTGTCCCCTGGCCCCGTCAGAATGATTGTTACAAACAGTGACAGACACTTCAATCTGTGCAGAGAGAGAGCCTGGTGCTTTGGAGGGCTCCCCAGACGGGCCAGTCCAACCCAGAGTAACCCCTGTCTCAGGGCCAACTGATGGTGACCTTCATTTCATTTAAAAAATCAGTTTCCAGGGACATCCACATCAACAGTTGGTTGAACACAGGGATGTGTGCAATTGCCCATGGGGTGTGTATAGGGGCCACTATAGGATCAGGCTGCCTGGTTTGGCCTTTCTTTTGATGTTTAATTGAATTCAGGTTGAAAACGGAAAGTCAAATAGATGATTGTGAACAGTAATTAACTGCATCCTGACTAACCATGGTCATTCTTGTATCCTGAAACCAAAGGACACATTTATCATCTTTCAGTTACTGTCAGTTAAATTGCAATCATTCATCCTCTTTGGAAGCTCTTTCATATACTATGGCACATACCAAATTTCTCATAATTTAGCAACTGGAAACAATGACCAAAAGTTTATTGTATCCCATTGTTTTACATAGAAATGTACATCTGTTTATTTTCATTTGTTTGAAATGAAGGCTTCTGCTGAGACTGTCCCAGGGAGCAGTGGAGCTGAGAGCCAAGGCTGCCCCATCTGAGGCTGGGCTGTGGTGCGCTCTGGTGGGCGGTGGGTGGAAGAGGCCTCGGGTCCTTTCTTCAGGGCTGTGTGTGCCAAGGCAGATGGCTTTTCCAGAGCTGGTGGGTTTCCAGAAGACAGAGAACAATGGAAGCTCCAAAATGCTTAACATCTTGAACCAGAATCCATGCTAGGCCAGCCTCATGCTTGAAACTGGGACTTTAAGTCCTAAATATCCTGATCTTCACATACATGATTACTGTATGCGTTTCTGGACACTGTGGCATTTTAATGCATGTGTGGAGTGTGTACTGATCCATATGGTCAATTATGATTTCCATGTCCTTTTCAGTACATTATCTTCTCTTTATGTTTTGAAGATTTATTTCTGTATTGGAAAGGCAGAGTTACACAGGGAGAGTGAGAGCTGCACAGGCTGACATTGACCAGGCCAGAGTCAGGAGCCTGAGCCTTCATCCAGCTCTCCCCCGTGGGTGACAGGGATCCAAGCCCTTGGGCATCTTCCATTACTTTCCGTGACACAGCAGGAAGCTGGATGAGAGATGGAGCAGCTGGGATTTGAAGTGGTGTCCATATAAGAAGGGTGTTTGCCTCTCAACCTGTTACCCTCCACAGTGCCGATCCCTGTTTGCTGTTTAGCGTGCACATATAAGAGAGAACAGGACACATCTGTCTCTTCATGTCTGACTTGTCGTTTAGCATAAATGTTTTTTAGTCTAGCCATTATGCTGTAAATGATATTATTCATTTTGAAAAAGTATTACTTATTTGAAAGAACTACAGAAAGAGAGGTGAAAATGAAGAGAGGAAGAAAGGAGGAGAGAAGTGAAGGATTAGGGTAGGAGAGACAAGTTGTACATCTGCCGCTCACCTCCCAAAGAGCTGCAGTGGCGAAGCAGGGCGGGTCTCACACTAGGAGCCAGCAGCTTCTTCCAGGTCTCCCACATTAGTGCAGCACCCCAGTCACATCAGTCATCTCCCACTGCCTTCCCAGGTGCATTAGCAGGGAGCTGCATCAGAAGCAGAGGATCCGGGACACCAAGTAGCACCTGAATAGATACCAGCATCACAGGCAGAGGCTTTACCCACTATGCAACATTGATCCTTATCTCTCATCTTTTGATATTCACCCATCAAATTGCATGACAGCCAACATAGACACTACTGGAGGGAGGTGATTGTGAGTGATGAACTAGTCCTGGAGGCTCAGTGTGACCAGGAAAGCTTCCTCCAGCACCTGTGTACCTGTCAGGTGACCCTCAGAGCCGACAGCGTGGCCTTGTGGAGTCCAGGCCCTGTCTGCTGGATACAGAGGCCATGCTTGTGCTTTCTGATTCTTCTCTTAGTCCCTACTATTCGGGAGAGCCCAACAGGCCTCAGCTTCCTGTCCCCCTGGGGTGGGCCATGGACCAGGGTAGGGCAGGAGGAATTTCAGGCTCTTGACCACTGTCCTTGGCTGTGGGATGCGCACACTGAGC